TTCATATTACATAAGATAAATTATGTGAAACAAATATGTTTTGTACTTAATAAATATTCATTGATTAAATAGATAAATGGCATATATTTGCATTCAAAATCAGTTTTTTTCTTCTCCCTGTCCACTTTCCCTCTTGATATATTTTCAACTATCATTTTGTGAATTCTCATTTAATTTTAAAAACATAAGACATATAAGTAAATTTTGAGTTTACCAATTTAGAATACTGCCACATGAGTAATATTAGCTTTACATTAGGTCACAGTGAGTACCAAAGGCCATGTATTAAGCATTATTAAGCATTTAAGTGTGTATTACTTTATATTAGATGTTGTATTTCCAGGAAAATCTTGACAAGGGAGAGACCTTAGCATGAGTAGAAAGTGGTTAGTTATAATATGTAAAAATATATACATATACATTTCAACTATGGAAATATTTTTAAATCTTGCTATAAAACCTTGTTTGACATTACAGTATTATCATTGCTTAAGTATGTTGGCCAAGGAAATACTTTGCGGACTACCTGAATCCTTGCTTAGTACAGAAGCCCGTGTTGGCGAGGAAGTCCCCCCTCCTCCAAGGGCACTGTGCAATTGCTCTCCATCAACCGGACAGCTTTGCTAAGTTAGCAGGTCTGTACTTGTCTGAAAAGCTACACGATCCACTCCCAGTGTGCGCTGAGGAGTCAGCCGAGAGTCCAGGAGTGGAAAGAGACAGGCCAGGGGACAAATCTTCAGGGTTCCAACCATCCGAATTAGATAATAGCATGGATTTATGAATGTCGGCAGCATTGGTCAAGTTCCTATTCAATTTTAGCAGAAAAACTGCTGGCAAAGCAACACAGATGTGGTTTGCAGATAAACTGATACCAACCATCCTCCTTTAGAAGGTTCCGCAAGCCCTGCTGATCCCCTCAACGCCAGTTCTTCCTTCCGGCCCTGCAGGCTGGCCCATCCCTCATTTTCTTACCGAACATGATCTAGGGGAGGGGTCGGGGTGCGGAAGCACACACACTGAACATCCCTGGCTCTGCAGCACATGAGGCTCAGCCATTGGACACATGCCAGTAGAGTTCTTCGTCCTGGTTCCTTTCTCAGGCTGTTCTGTGTTCTCTAGCTCTTCTTATTCTTCACAAAGATTAGGTTTTCACAAGACATATGATATACAGAGGATATGAAGGAAATTAGCCTTCTGATGCTTGAAGCTGACGAGGAGGAAGTTTGGGGTGTGACACAGCAAACGGTGTGGCTTACTTGGCCCTAACGTTCAGGGAACTGGCCATTTCATATAACCTGCCACAGAACCACAGAATAGAAAGAGAACCCCAGGTGACGGACTGTCTGCAGGAGAGTCAGAAGATAACGCCCAGTCTGCCCGGCAACCGCTGTGTACACCTGGATAATAATCCATAGAAATCATGATAATTCAAAATACATCATTATTATTCAATAAGGACTCTGCACATTGGACTTTGAGTGGTTGCCAGTGGAAAATCTGAGGATTATCTGTGATTAGTAGGAGGGCCTTGATACGGAAAGCAGCATCTAATGAATCAAACGTAATTGGTGTGATGACGGTAATATCGTCATTTGGTGAAGAAGCAGATGATGAAGATGGGGAAGATTTCGAAGGGTAAAGTCTGTGATACCAGCTGAAGTTTTAACAGTTTCTTATAGCAGAGGATTAGAATTAAATAATTATAGGTAGATCGTATTATTTAAACTCATTATACTATTGGGACTCCTGGGTGGCTCAGTCGGCTAAGCATCTGCCTTCAGCTCAGGTCATGATCCCAGGGTCCTCAGTGCAGAGCCTGCTTCTCCCTCTTTCCCCCCACCCCTGCTCGTGCTCTCTCTCTCTCTGACAAAAGGAAAAAGAAATCTTTAAAAAAAAGTTTAAAAAAAATAAAAATAAAGCCATTATACTATTTAAAAACTACAACAAGTAGTTATGGGGAAAATTATCAAATTCGAGGAATTGTTCTAATTACCAAAACAGAATACACCCTGAATATTCCCACGTATTTTATTTCTGCTGATTATTTTGATGGCTTGATTTAAAAAGTATGGGTTAAAAAATAGTTAAAATTAATGGATTAGAAAAACGCATTGCAAAAATGGAGATATATTTCTTTAGACAAAAAAGAAAAAGAAAAATTATTTTATGAATTAATCTGACAATTTCTGGTGAAAAATATCTCCGAGGAGACTGGATTCATCACTCACTCTATGTGAAACAGTGTCCTAAGTATGTGTGAAACTCTGGGAAATGTGCTGCTTTCCTATAAATATTTTACTAATGGTTATCTCACTAAAATATATGATCACTAAAAATCATATTTACCCAAGCAGTGGTAAGATGAATTTCATGGAGAGCAGGTAGGCGATTTGAATAAGTCAAGTTAAGGGTCAAGCTTCAAAGCAGTCAAGTGGGACACAAGGCCACTGACGGAATGTTGGATTTGGTGAACTTTCCCGCAGACTGATAGCTGGGGTTAATGGCTGGATGGACACAAATTGTCCCTGGGAATGAAACAAAGTAGCTCCCCACTGTACTCACTCACTCTTCAGATGTATTTTTTTTTTTTTTTGAAGTTTGAAATCCTTAGAACGGCACTTTGATACTATTTATTCAAAATTAAGTAAAAAAATATTTATCGAGTAACACAACATTTTGCTTGTATCAACTTTTCAGTGTGAAATTTAAGAAAGAATGAGCATGTAAGACAAAGACATTGTAACTCAACATTAATGATAACTTTTCTTCTAAGGTTTTTCTGATGAATGCTGTTAACAGGGTGGTTTAAGAGACTTTCACATCTGAAGCTCATGACCTGTTCTGAGAACATGCTCCTAAAACTAGATTCATTGAGTGAAGAGGTGGATGTGTTTGTGTGCAGTTAGCTCTCAGTTGGAGGACCTTTCGAGCCAGGACACACCTACTGAATTTTGAAAACCAGACCATCTTTTAAGCATCTTGATCTAGGAAATCTTGTCCATTTGTGAAGTAAATGTCAATATTTTAAACGTTGATTACCCCATGGTTTTGTTATTCAGTGTATAGCAGATTAATTTTTAGCTAATTATTTTCATAGTAAGTATCAAACAACCAAAAAGTTGTCTACTCTTTTTTTTTTAAGATTTTATTTATTTATTTGACAGAGAGAGACACAACGAGAGAGGGAACACAAGCAGGGGGAGTGGGAGAGGGAGAAGCAGGCTTCCCGCGGAGCAGGGAGCCCGATGTAGGACTCGATCCCAGGACCCTGGGATCATGTCCCGAGCCGAAGGCAGACGCTTAACGCCTGAGCCACCCAGGCGCCCCAAAAAGTTGTCTACTCTTCATTTTTATTCCCACAATTATAGACACTGGATATGGTGCTAACGATAAGGGAAGGATGCTTTTTCAAAGTCAAGAAATTCACAACCTTGTAGGAAAGATAGATCTGTAAGTTATTCATTACAATAAAGAACTATTATCAGGAATAGGTGTGGTTTGTGTTATTGTTATGTTGATATATAGGATGAGAAGTGTATATTCCTGGGGGCAGTTAGGAAGAGCTCAGTTAGGGCACCTGGGTGGGTCAGTCTGTTAAGCCTTGGCTCAGGATCGAGTCCCACCCACATGGGGCTCCCTGCTCAGCGGAGAGCCTGCTTCTCCCTCTGACCCTACTCCCTCTTGTGCTCTCTCTTTCTCTCTCTCTCTCTCTCTGAAATAAATAAAATCGTAAAAAAAAAAAGAAAAAAAGGAAGAGCTCAGTTAAATGTTTCTCCTGACCCTTCAGCAATAAGAGGGCCCGTGGAAGTCGGAATCCTGTTCTCTCAATTTTGTGACTGAATCACCCACAACAATGCCGAACCTGTATTGGGTGCTCAGCCAAGAAAAAGAACTAAGGAGAGATGGAATCTGACTAGGATTAATCTTTTATTGGGTGACAGCTTAATCAGTTGTGTGATATGAAATCTAAGGAAAATGAACTATAGCTTCCCTTACATTAGTTCTTTCTTTTTTTTTTTTAAGATTTTATTTATTTATTCATGAGAGACAGAGAGAGAGAGAGAGGAAGAGGGAGAAGCAGGCTCCCAAGGAGCAGGGAGCCCGATGCGGAACTCGATCCCAGGACCCTGGGATCGTGACCTGAGCCGAAGGCAGACGCTTAACCATCTGAGCCACCCAGGCACCCACATTAGTTCTTTCTTGTGAAATTAGTTTCTCCTGCTCTTTTCTCAAACCCAGTTCAAATTATTAATGTGAAGACTGGATTGCATTGCAAGCTGACATTTGATTTCTAAAAATTATCTATTGATTTGAAAAAAAAAACCTCCTTTCTTAAAATGGAAGTCAGTTGAAATATTTGTTTTATAGTAAAAAACAGTCATATTTGTTGGGTTATGTCATTTCTATAATTTGCTTGGTCTTCCAATTTAAGGTAGTTTTTTTTTTTCTTTTTTCCTTTTAGAGTCCGTTGTCTATTTTCTTTCTCTAAATTGTCAACTCTATTTAAAGTTCCTGTTTGGATTGTGCTGTAAAGAAATTTGCATAGTTGATTGCAGAACAGAATCTAAAGCTTGAAAGAGACTTTGGCGATGATCTGTCCCGCCATCCTCATTTACAGTGGAAAAGACGAAGTTATCCTACAGTGTAGGGCATAGTGGGGGGTCTCTGGAACTCCATCTATGGCATGTCCAGAGAAATGTCTATGCAGACTCTCTTTGAGTCAGAGTGGGATTTGAGATGGACCAATTTGATTTGACATTGTATGATGATATCAGGAACATGGTCATTCTCTGAATGGTAATGCCTTGGGTTCAGTTTAACAACGCAGGTACCAAACAAGGGTCCTGATGGCTGAGCAAACCTCCCTCACCAACTTGAGTTCATGAACCACTTTTTATCATAATTAGTGAATAGCTAATTTGATGTTCCATGTTTCTGTTATGTCTTCACCACGCCGATAAAATGCTGCAGAAAATAATACCATCTCTATGTATTTCTAGCTAGAACGTGTGGATCAAATCTACGTGGGCCCAGTGGCATCATTACCTCCCCTAATTACCCGGTGCAGTATGAAGACAATGCGCACTGTGTGTGGGTCATTACCACAACAGATCCAGACAAGGTAAGGCTTCCACCTTCCACCTCTGTGTAGCTGATGCAGTCAACACTCTGACTCAGACAACTGTTTAAGATGAACAGCCTTGCAAATGTCATGCACCCTTATAGTTTGCTGTTTGAATTGAAGAGCTCATGCTGCCTTGTGTAGATATATCCACATTTATTGGAAACTCAGTCTAGGATTAAAGATAAAGTGAGTATTCTTCATTTGGTAGCCTCCCACTGGTTCTGGAGGTTCTGTCTATGTTCTTTTTCCCACCCTCAGCAGTTTTGATGAGATATAATTGACATATAATATTGTCTTACATTAGAGCGTATAACGTAATTATCTGAGGTATATATATATGTATAGCAAACAGTTAACATATGTTATCTCACATGATTATAAAATTATTGTGGTAAAACTTTTAAGATCTACTCTCTTGGGAACTCTCAAGGATACATACAGTAACTATGAAGGCAATGGAATCAAGAGAGAATCAAGAATGGGTTGGGAGGTGGGTGGTGAAGCCCTTACCAGAATCAACCGGGGGCACCCTAACCTACATCTCTGGTCCCTGCACCATTATTAATAATAACCTTCCTTTATTCTCCAAATTGTTCCTGTTTGGAATAATACAGGATCTCCCTACCCTGAACCAGGGAAAGGGCCTCAGGAACAAATTTTTGTTTTTTGTTTATTTTTTTGTTTGTTTCTTTTTTTATGGGAAGAGATAATGAGTTTGGTTTTAGGCATAATGAGACTGAGGTGCCTGCTGTATATTCATTTAAGTGGACATAACTGGTTGAAGTAAATTTGGAATTCACAAGTGTGTTGTTAGCTGCTGAGATCTGGGATATGTATGATGTTATGCAGAGAAGCCAAACAATCAAAGAGAGTCAGGCTGATGGCATAGTTTTCTCTCTGTGTCAGTTGCAGGATGGAGTGGGCTTCATAAATGATAAGGATTTTTGCAATTCTAAGTGTCATATAAAGAGCTTAAAAGCATTGAAGGCTTTTATGTGGAAGAAGCAGTAAACCCATGGTGTTCTGATAGGACAGGCAGGTGGCTCCAAGCTAAATCTTCAGGAAATGTGATTAAAACCCTTATGGTATTTTCAAAATTCATTTAAATCCAGATCACATATGAATGATCATGAATATTTTTATACTACAGATATACCTATGTATCTGAGTTTCTTTCTTTCATACATACTAGAATAATTGAAATCTCTATCTAAAAGGAAGCTTAGAATTCCTATTGTCTGAACACCCTTTACCTGACAGGTGAGAAACCAAGATCCACGGAAAGTACTTGTGAAAGATTTCACAGCTATTTTGCTCCTACAGCAGGATGAGGTCCTGCACATGATGGTACTTCATTAGCTCTCGTCTCTGTAAGAAGAGTCATTTATTTCTGCAGCTATGAACTCCATTATCACCATGAGGGATGCCATATGGAAATGAAATAATAGGTTATTCAGTGTGTCAATAGGATGTTTTTGGCTGTAGGTATTAGAAGAACTTTTTAAGAAACATTATTTCACATAAGAAAAGGGTAGAGCCAGCAAGATTCCAGGTTTAATTCAGGAGCTCAGGAACATTGTTGAAGATTCAGGTGTTTCCCATTCTTTCCTGCTCCATATCCAGGGTGGTAACAATGCCTGCCCCCCTCAGATCACAAGATGGCTGTGACGTGATCATGGTCAATGAAGAAATGAGGCATGTCTTTCTAAAAAATGGAAGAAATTTTCTAGAATGTCCCTAGTGGACTTCCCTTCAGGTCCAACTAAGTCTCCCCGCTCCCAGGGGGCCTGAGGAAAGAACTATCTGGAAGCCAGAAGACAAGGCTGATGGTTATGGTAACCAGTGTGCCTACCATATGCACACAAGCAAAATGTCAAAGAAAGAAGTTTCAGTAATCATCAGATTCATATTTTGTTTATGATGTATTTTAGATCCCATTATTTTCCTGTTTTACGACTCCTGTGGCCTAAAATTTGTTAAAATGCATAAGGTGTGTTCTTTGACATTTTGAAGGTGATTTTTCAACTTGGCCAAACTGTAAAATGATCAATAAAATAATGAACGTATGCAGTTTGGATTGATACATTTTTCTCATTTTAGGAGTTTCACTTTTCTCATCTCATCTTTGCATACATTTACATAGATATTTCTCATGATTTTGTACAGATTTTGTTGATTCTGAACACTCAACAATTAACACGTTAAATTTCGGGAATCTCGTGTTATATTACTTCAGTAAATTCTTTGCCTTTTTTCCTTTATTTTGCTGAAATGTTCAGAGAAGAAACAAGACATTGCAGGTTGACTCACTCGTACACACCAATACTCTTTACAAGAGCACCACTTAGACACCTGAAGGCATCTCAATTAAGCAGAATTACCATCCAAATTAAGAAGCAGTCATTGCCATTAAGTATAATTAGGCTTAATTTGATTCCTTGGGAGATATTCCAAATAAGGGGGTTTCCCGATTAAGCACATGGTGACGAAGGTATATTACATATTGAGCATAAGAGAGAAGAACAGTTATATAAAGGTATCCAGACAATGACTCTTGCTAGAAGCATTAACACAGAATTCTAGATAAGAAGTGCTGTTATACCTCAATCTGTATGTTTGACTTGATTTGCAAACTTTTAAGAAATAAGACAGAATAGAAAACTAAAATCAATTTCCAATGTCAATTGGAGATTAGTTAGTAAGCACTTCTTTGGTTGAAATGTTAATCCTCCCAATGATTTATAGACTTCCTTGGTCTTATTTTTGCTCTATTATATAATCAAGTGACATGTGTCCATGTATACAAAGCATTAACATAAAATTGCTTGTACAAGATAATTACCATAGGAATCTGGGTCATGAATATCACAATTTGTCATATTGTGGGATTTCAACTTAAAAAGACTATCAGAAATCTATTCATAAATATATATAAATACATAATTTTCTTAATTATATCAATACATTGTACATTATTATTGAATATATATTAATATAATATATTTGCTAACAGATTATGTATTAAATAGCATATTAATTATAACTAATCATTGTTAAACATATATATATACATATATATATGTATATATATATTAGGAGAACCTGCTATGTAGTATGTTCTAGGTAGAAAGTTAAAAAAAAAATTTCCTTGGGGAGTCTGGGTGGTGCAGTGGGTTGAACATCCAACTCTTGGTTTCAGCTCAGGTTCTTATCTCAGTGTCCTGGGATCAAGCCCTGCATCTGGCTCAGGGCTGAGCATAGAGTCTACTTAAGGTAGCAGGAAGGGAAAAATGAAGGGGGAGAAATCGGAGGGGGAGACGAACCACAAGAGACGATGGACTCTGAGAAACAAACTGAGGGTTCTAGAGGGGAGGGGGTGGGGGGATGGGTTAGCCTGGGGATGGGTATTAAAGAGGGCACGCTCTGCATGGAGCACTGGGTGTTATGCACAAACAATGGATCATGGAACACTACGTCAAGAACTAATGATGTAACGTATGGTGATTAACATAACATAATAAAATTTAAAAAATAAAAAACAACAAAAAACTAATGATGTAATGTATGGTGATTAACATAACATAATAAGAAATGATAATAAAAAAAAAAGATTCTCCCTCCCCTTCTCTCTTTCTCCGTGCTCACCCTCGCTTGCTCTCTCTGTAATATAAATAAATAAATCTAAAAGAAAATTCCCTCAAGAAGACTCAATTTAGTGGAGAAGCAGATTTCTAAACACCCAAGTGCAACTCCTTCTGCCATACTAGTCTAGTAGAGGGTCAATAAAAATTAATTCACTAATTAGATATTTATTAATGTATTTCATTGTATATATACATTCAATAATTCAGCTTTCTCAGGTAAAACTCATGATAACATGTATGACCAAATTCTTTTTTTTTTAAGATTTTATTTATTTATTTGACAGAGAGAGAGAGAGAGAGCACAAGTAGGCAGAGTGGCAGACAGAGGGAGAGGGAGAAGCAGGCTCCCCGCTGAGCAGGGAGCCCAATATGGGGCTCGATCCCAGGACCCTGGGGTCAAGACCTGAGCCGAAGGCAGACGCTTAACCTACTGAGTCACCCAGGTGCACATGTATGACCAAATTCTTGAGAAAGTAATATATGGTGCATGAGTTATTACAGATTAGAGGAATTATAAGCAAATGCTCTGAAAAGGTCATCCATATGGTTTCCATTGGAAAGATTAAACATAGCTTTCCCTAGCATCCATACATGGATATGTGGGTGTGTGTCTGTATCTGCATATGTATACACGTAGATATATTTATATTTCAAACGCATTCTGTGGTGACATAATTTCAGTACCTAATTTTAGTTTGAGCTTCTTAGAGAGTATTTTTGTTGATGTTAAACTCTGAGAATTTCAAAGATTTTAAGCATTTGAACTTTGTTTGGGCTACTGTAACAAAATGCCACAGATGGGGTACCTTATAAACAAAGAAAATTATTTCTCACAGTTATGGAGGGTGAAAGTCTGCAGTCAGGTTTCCAGCCTGGTTAGACGCTGGGGAAAGCCCTTGTGAAGACTACGACATCAGCGTGAAGCCCCTAGAACATCTTCTGGAAAATGCTCAGTCCCTCCCTGCCCTCCCCCTCCCCTCCTTCCTCCTTCCTCCTTCCCTCTCTTCTTCATTACAATTATTAGTGACTACATTTAAAAAGACATAAATGAGACACTGAAGGATAGGTAAAGCGTTTAGATTTTGTGCTAATGACAAGGGGGGGTCGGGAAACAGAGGAAAAGAATGGCATTGCAGTGTGTCTTGGAGACATCACTTTGCCAAGAGTCAGGTGGACAGATTTGAAGGGCACGTGACTGGAAGCAGGAAACATCAGGACTTTGTTATAATTATGAAAGATCATATGAGCTTATGTCAGGAAAATGGTGTCAGGATTGGGGAAGATAAGATGAATTTGAGAGGTATTTAAGGAGTAGGTAATTTACAACAATTTATGCATTTACATTATTACACC